CGCCCGCCATGAGGAGCGCGCACCCCCTGGTCCTCTTCTCCCTGGCCGCCCTTTGCGGGCGCGGTGAGTGCTCTTTGGGGAAGGCGGGAGGGCCCCGGTCCGGCAGAGCCCGCTGGACCGGCCACAGGTGGCAGGGGAGTGGCCGAGGTTGTCCCGGCGGGAGGGGGCGGGCCGCTGGGGCGAGCGGGTCTGTGAGGTCCGGGCGAGGCCAGCGTCCTCGCGTGGGGGGTCGGGGACAGGGGCTGTGCGGGCAGCTCCGCTCAGCCCAGCGCGAAGGGAGGCCGCGGCCCGGCTCGGGTCCCACAGGTTCCTCCCTGCGACTGTGGACACCGGGAGCAAGCCTGGCGCCCAGTCCTGGAGGGAGGGGTCTTGCCCGCCCCGCCAGCCCCGAAATGTGCGCAGTTTGGGGTGGATCTCCCAGGAAACACCACCGCCTCTGGTCACCAGCGTGGGGAGGGCCACTCAGGAACCTGCAGGCTCTGACGCCTGGCAGGATACCCAAACCAGCCTCCAGGCAGAGCCCAGATGTGCTGGGCATTTCCCAGCCTGAGCACCGAGGAGCCTGTCAGCTCCCACCAGAAGGCCGCGGCTTGTCCTGGGCCCCGGTCAGCCTAGAGGACCAGGGCCACATCTGCTGGGACGAGGCACACCACAGGGGGGCTGGAGGAAGGGCTGCGGATATAGTGGCTCTCACAAAGACAGCGGCCGCACCGCAGTCAGCGTCCTGGCTCTGTCACCACTTGCTGGTGACCCCGTGTCCTTCCTTTCCCCTCTCTGAGCCTCAGTTTCCCTATCTGTTCTCTGGGGATGATGGGCCCTGTCTACAGACTGGGGACTCAGATGTGCGAGTCAGTTGCAATGTTTCTGAAGCATGGTCCTAGGGACGTGTCCCAGAATCACCCAGCACAGAGTCCTGGGCTCACAGATCAGAACCTCTGGAAATGGAGCCTGGGGATCTGCATTTACGCAGCATCGAGGTGATTCCTACATCTGATCGCACAAGCTACTGATAATAATGCTGAGCTTTATGTAAAAGGTAAAACTCCCAACTTTTCTTAAACCCATAGCTGCCTTTTAACAAACACGAATCCGTCCCCGTCCTTGGTGAAGGACACGCACTGAAAATCGCTCTGCCTTTCACATGCCCACTTGCAAAGGAGAGTCTGTGACCTTCACCTTCTGTAGTGTGATTCCAAAATAGGGATTATCTTGCCATTTTTCCAACATAGATTGTCAGACGAGCTGTGCTTTTGCAAACTGTACACAGGCTCACACAGGTTAGCGTTCCTGCTGTGTCCCCTCGATCCTCAGCCCCGCTCTGTTCCAGAGAAGGCCTGGGAAAGAAGGCCCTGGACAGAGGCAGGCCGGCCCACAGCCCGTCAGAGTCACTGAGTCGCGACTGACCTCTAGTGGCGGGCTGTTTCACAGGGCTGGGGTGTGACCCACTGCGCCCCAGAAACTTCCACCCATTACAGCCACCCTATCTTCTTGGGGGCGCAGGGCCCGTCCCCTATCTTTTGGACCCAGAAGCCCTCACAGGCACAAAGCGGCAGACTGGAAAGTCTAAACACATGTCGTTCTGGCTCCTTTTGGGGGGCGAGGACTTCATTCTAGCCCGCGACAGCCCTGCTGGTCATCCCCACCAGGGCCCCCACACTCACAAGTCCAAGCGGCAGTGTGAGCGAGGACACACTTGGCTCCGGACACCAAGGCCACTGCAGGGGCAGCCTCCGTACAGGAAGTTAGCAAGGCAGGAGAGAAGGCCCGAGGCCTCTGTCTGACCGACGCCTGGACCTGGCTCTGCCCCTGACTTGCTGGGGCTCCTGGAGTAAGTGCCTCCTCTCTTTGGTCTCAGGCTGCCCAGCTGAAAAACAAAGCGTTGGCTAAATGGTTTTCAGAGCCACTAACTCAGGACCCCGTAGGTGGTCCTCAAGATGGAGGAGGGTCCCTCGGGGCCAGCTGACTGCCTGAGAGGCAGGACAGGTGCAAAGATGGGCAACCTGAGCATTCCGGGGGGCTCGGAGCCAGAAGCCTGCCGAGTAGCCGTGGCTCTCTCTCGGGTGCCCAGGTGGCAGCAGCCTCCTGGGGCTGCAGAGCTGTGGATCCAGCCTCTCCCACAACCGCAGGGCTGGGGGCCAGGACCTGCAGATTCTGACCCCAGAGCTGCCCCAGACATACCAGATGGGCTTGGACAAGTCACACCCCTCTTTAGGAAAAGACTAGTCAGCCGAAGTATATACACTAACGAGGCTGTGGGAGGGTTGCAGCTGTAGCCTGGGGCTGCAGACTGGCTTCCAGGGCACTCAGGCAGAGGGCCTCTGGGAGGGGGTCCAGGCCATGAGAGGAGGGGCTCGAGAATCTAGGTCAAGCATCGGAGGACCCTCAGGACAGCCCGGGGCATTCTGGGGGAGGCACAGCAGCAGCAGGTACGCTGGGAGCCTCTTTCACAGGGCACTAAATATTGCATCTGCTCCAGATAGGCAGCGAGTTGGAAAGAGCATGGAGCAGGCAGGGTGGAGGCTGCTCCTGCGGCCGTGGCTCCACCCAGCACCCACCCGGGAGTCTGCCTCACACTTGCTCAGTTGGAGCCATTCAGGCTCTGAGCCCTGTGGCCCCGCCCAGAGGGAGGGGGTTGGTAAAATGGGGAGCTGGCCCTGCAGGGGAGGATGGAGTCTGAGTCCTAGGCTTGGTGAGCCACAGCCCCTCGCTGGTACCCGCAAGCCTCCTTTATCCCTCTATCCTATGCCACCTGCTCTCCCGCCAGCTCAGGTGTCCTTGATCTTCTTCTGAGTGTTCCTCTTTCCAAGGTGCCCCCCGGTCCCCAACACATTCTCCCTGAAGAGCCCAGGCAGGTGGTGAGCAAGGACCAGGGCTGGAGGGGTGTATGTGGGAGACGGAGAGACTTGAAAGGTAGAATCGATAGAACTCGGCGGCCACCTGAAGACACACAGGTCTGGACTAGGTGTCTAGTCGTGGGGCGCCACTCACTGGTGGAGCGAACGGGAGGAGGAAGAGGTGGCGCGTGGGAGGACCGCAGAGCTCCCTCTGGAATACTAAACTGGCAGTCCCGAGGAGAGGCAGGCCTGCCCCGAGGACCCCTGTGCCCCCGGCCCTGGCAGCTCCCCGCTCCACTGCCGTCAGCTGCAGTGGGTGTCACCTGGAGAAGGGCCAGCAGGTCTGACCTGTTTTCCCAGGGGACTGCCGCGTGGCCAACGCTGAGGAGAAGCTCATGGACGACCTTCTGAACAAAACCCGCTACAACAACCTGATCCGCCCAGCCACCAGCTCCTTGCAGCTCATCTCCATCGAGCTGCAGCTCTCCCTGGCCCAGCTCATCAGCGTGGTAGGTGCAGGGGGAGAGAGACTCAGTGGGATTTTGGTGCCCTGGCTGGGTCTTGGGAAAAGTGGTCGCCGTTCAGTGTGCACGGCTGGGAGTCAGGTGACTTGGGTTTCACTTGTGGCATCGCCCAGACTTGTGCACGAAGTCCCAGATCGTCCATCTGGTATTCTCCGCTTGGGAGTGAGGACAGGACTGAGGCACGACAGAACTTTCTGGGTGATAGAAATGCCCCGTATCTTGAAAGGAGGTGGGTTACATGGGTAACACATTTGTTAAAACTGATCCAAACGTACGCTTGCCATCTGTGCCTTTCGCTGTATGTAAATTACACCTCAACTTTAAGAGAATTTTTTAAAGATGGGCGGTTTTCAACGTTCAGTGATGGCGGAATAGCTTGTCGCAGACTCATTTTTCCACAAGGACAATTAGAAAAGATGGACCCCCCGCCCCCGCCCCCGCCATCAAAATACGTTTGAAGTCTTGGAGAGCTCAGCCGGGACTTGAGGGACCAGGTTCCAGGAGGTGACCTTGATGGTCTCTGGTGCTTTTCCCCAAGTTTAATGATTGGTGGACAGGGGGGGCTAAGGAGCTGAACACAGAGTGGCGGCTAAGAGGCTGGGAGGCCTCGGGGAATGGTTGCCACTTTCACAGGGCCGGGGTGGCACATATTAAAGCTTGAGCCTCGCTAAGAAGATGGAAACCTTGAGAGGACAACCCCTAAGAGTAAAAATGAATCAAAAACAGTCCAGCCTCACAAAATCTAAACCTGCTTCGAACCAGCTCGGACACAGCCTGGGTTACAGGGATCCGCCCCTCCTCTGACTGCCTGCCTTAAAGCCAAAGTCCGCACTCCCTAGAGGCACGTACGGTCACGCACCGAATAACGACGGACTGCATATACGTCGGTGTTCCCATGAGATTATAACAGAGCCAAACAATTACTATCGCCTGGTACATCGCAGCCATCGTAACAGCAGATCACAACACATTGCAATTGCCGACGGTACTCAGTACACTAACACACGGTAGGAGCAGTCGGCTATGGCACACAGCCCAGGCGTGTCGTAGGCTGTACCGCCTCGGCGTGGGTCAGTGCACTCTGTGATGTTTGCGCAAAGACAAAATCGCCTAATGAAGATGTGTTTCTCAGACTGTAAGTGACACGTGACTATAAAGTCAGAAAAAAATATGCTAGGCACGCGATAAGGCAAGACGAAGTAAGAAAAGACCAAAGCCAGAAAGAAGACAATGGAAAAAGATACCCAGATTTAGTCAGACACAGACTGTTAAAAAACTACTACTAAGATAGTAAACTTTATGGCATGTGAATGTTACCGCTACGAAAAATGAATCAACAAATAATAAATATTTAAAAACAAAATAGCTGATATGTTCAAGAAAATTATACTGACGGAGAATTTGAAGCCCATCGTAGGATGGGTTTAACAGCAGGTTGGTTATAGCAGAAGATGAGGTTAAGGAACTGGAAGGCAGAGGCCAATGGAAAAGGCCTCAACAAATAACAAGAACGGATAAGACAGAAAAGAAGATCGTATGGGGCATGTGCGGGTGCGTTTCACTGAGCGGACCGTGCATGCAGGACCAGCCTGTGTGAGGATCGTGAGCTTCGTCTAGACATGCGGGGTGTGAGACACCATCCAGGATAGGCTGGATGGCCGTGGGGCGCATGGCCCTCGAGCTCAGAGCCTGCGTGACGAAGCGGCCCGTGGAGGGCTCCTCCCGCCCAGTGAACTGATAGCCCCTCTCCTTCCCCAGAATGAGCGAGAACAGATCATGACCACCAACGTCTGGCTGAAACAGGTAAGTGCCCTGAGGGTCCCCAGCCCCGAGGGCCTCTCCTCCAGAGCTTGCCCATTGGTGGCGACGACATACGAGTGACGGGGCCCTGCCCGTGTGCTCAGGAGTGGACCGACTACCGCCTGGCCTGGAACAGCTCCTGCTACGAGGGTGTGGACATCCTGAGGATCCCTGCAAAGCGCATCTGGCTGCCTGACATCGTGCTTTACAACAAGTGAGTGGCGGGGCTGGCCGGCGTCCCAGCCTCCGGGGTTCTCCGGTCCCGAGTCCAGTCCTAGGCCCCATCTGCGCGTCGCCCCAACATCCTAGCTATCAGGCTGGAAGAGGAGGTAGAGGTGAGCAGAGCCAGCGCCCCCAGTTACAGATGGGGAAGCAGAGGCCCAGAGTCGCTCAGGCACAGCTGGGCCCGGGCCTAGCGCCCCAAGCCCAAGTCCAGTGCCCCTTCTGTCCCCCAGACCGTCTTTTGGACCGTCTGTCGCTTGGTCAGGGCTAGGTGTCGGTGGTGCCGAGTTACTCTGTGTAAATACGTTAGGTAGGCGGGGGGAGCCAAAGAGACCGGCTCCGGGTAGTAGTTACACCGGCAGAAGCGTGAAATGATCACGAGTGCGGGGTGCAGGGACAACGGAGTTCAAATTCGGCTGTTCTGCTCATTAGTTTTCTGACCTTGAAGCAGTCGCTTGACTTCTCCGAGCCTCAGTTTCCCCATCTGTAAAACGGGGATAAACAAGAGCTACCTCACCGGACTGTTGGGAGGCCTAGATGAGCTAATACACGAGGACACTCCCTGCCACTCCCTGTGGGGTTCTTTGGCTGGCAGCTGCCCGCGAACCTCATGGGGTTCTCCTCCGTGCCCCGCCCCTGCCCAGTGCCGACGGGACCTACGAGGTGTCTCTCTACACCAACGTGGTGGTGCGCTCCAACGGCAGCATCCTGTGGCTGCCCCCCGCCATCTACAAGAGCGCCTGCAAGATCGAGGTGAAGCACTTCCCCTTCGACCAGCAGAACTGCACCCTCAAGTTCCGCTCCTGGACCTACGACCACACGGAGATCGACATGGTCCTCAAGTCGCCTTCGGCCAGCATGGACGACTTCACCCCCAGTGGCGAATGGGACATCGTGGCCCTCCCGGGGCGAAGGACGGTGAACCCGAAGGACCCCAGCTACGTGGACGTGACGTACGACTTCGTCATCCGCCGCAAGCCCCTGTTCTACACCATCAACCTCATCGTGCCCTGCGTGCTCATCACCTCGCTGGCCATCCTGGTCTTCTACCTGCCGTCCGACTGCGGCGAGAAGATGACGCTGTGCATCTCCGTGCTGCTGGCGCTCACCGTCTTCCTGCTGCTCATCTCCAAGATCGTGCCGCCCACGTCCCTGGACGTGCCGCTCATCGGCAAGTACCTCATGTTCACCATGGTGCTGGTCACCTTCTCCATCGTCACCAGCGTGTGCGTGCTCAACGTGCACCACCGCTCACCCAGCACGCACACCATGGCGCCCTGGGTCAGGCGCTGCTTCCTGCGCCGGCTGCCCACCTTCCTCTTCATGAAGCGCCCTGACGGCAGCGCCCCCAGGACCCCCCAGCCCAGTCAGTCTGGGGCCGCCACCGCCTCGGCCACGGGCCCGGCCAGCTCCTCCAACCTCTACGGGAGCTCCATGTACTTCGTGAATCCTGCCTCTGCGGCTGCGAAGCCCCCCGCCGGCTCCGACTCTGCGAGGACCCCCAGGGACTTCCGGCTGAGGTCCTCCGGGAGGTTCCAGCAGGACGTGCAGGAGGCTTTACAGGGCGTCAACTTCATCGCCCAGCACATGAAGAGTGACGATCAGGACCAGAGCGTAAGTTGCTGCCCAGCCCCCGCCACATGCCCAGTGGATGGGCTCAGACAACAGGGCCAGCCCCCATTTCCCACAGTTCGTTCATGAGACAAGGGCTCGCAAACTCTCTGTGGGGGTAAGGAACCCAAAATGGAACCCAGCTGTATCAGAGCTTCGTGCACGGGGTGGGCGGCGGGAAGGCGGGTGATCCTTTCCGTTAGTCTTGGGTTCCCCGGGAGCAGAGCCTGAAGTGAGGACCCGGGCAAAGGCGGTTCACATGACCAGTGAGCTCAGGACGCAGAGTAGGGAAGGAGGGGCAGTGAGCCGGGGAAGCGATGAAAGCAACGTGGGTACTGGCGAGTGGGTTACTGCCCGAGGCCCGGGGCCCGAGGCTCAGGGGAGCTCAGCCCGGCAGAGACCCGCTGATGATGCAAGCGCAGAACCGGTCTCTGGAGGGAGGTGGGTATTTGCCCCTCAGCTCCCGTCCCATGGGGGTTATACTTCCTGGCTCTGCCAGCTGGTTGTGCAGCCAGCACCCTGGGGGTTGGAGGAGCCCCGGGCAGAGGAGAGATGCAGGCTCCCGAAGTGGGAGGCTGCCAGCGGGCTGGAAGTGGCGCCTGCAGCCTTTAGGACCACACATGGCCGGGGCGCCAAGAGCATCTGCTCCCAGCCTCCTCGGGCTTGCAAAGAAGCCACATGTTTGTAGCCAAACCTTTGTAGCTTTTAAGAGTACAGAAACATCAGATAAAATATTATCGCTAGCCAGGATCATGATTCATCGAGCAGGGTGACTACAGTTACAGATTTTTAAAAAGAGGTTGCATTTACTCTCCAGGACAAGCAGTGAGTGCTAGAGTGCAGGTGTCCCAACGACTCCTCCGAACGTATGACACTGCAAAGGACAGTTCTATGACCGAGCACAGAACGCGATGGTAACGGCAGGAAGTGTGCACCGCGGCTCCACAGCAGGCAGAGCGAGCGTCACATTCTGTGAACGTTCTCGTCTCAACACCTGATCAGACCAGGTCCTCTCAGCAGACGTTGACCCCACCACACGCCGCTGCCTGGGGAGAGGAGGGCCTCTCCTCCCGCTTACCTTCCTGCGGCTCCCTTCCACGAGCCCGTCCTCCAGGGAAAGCTCTGGCAGTCCATTAGTTGGCACGCGGGGAAAAGCGCAGGCCGGAGAAGCTGCAGACTCACACTGTGAAAAGGAGAGAGGGGTGTTGGTAGCACATGGAATATAGGACACCAGCTGTAGAAATGCAGCGTCCCAGGCCCCGCAGACCTGCTGGCTCAAGACCCGTTTTGCCAGGTCCCCAGGGGATTCCCGGGCACACGCCAGCATGAGCGGCACAGCTGTCCAGGACCATCAGACTTTGCTTTTAAGAAAATTACTTTGATTGTGCTTCCCTTTCGTTGGAAACCATTCAGTAGCTCAGCATCACCTAAATCACCGGGTCCCAACCGTTACTGTGCAGCCTGGGGCCCTGCTGGCTAAATAAGAGCCACTTGGGCACCTTTTCAAAGTCCAGCTTCAGGGCCACCGGGACTGAGCCAGGGTCTCGGGGAGGCGTCCAGGAGCTGCGTTTCCAACCAGCTTCCCGGTGGTTCCCGTGCACGGGGAAGCTCTGGTCCCCGGCCGCCCCGCCAAGCTGGCACCCACCCTGAGCCCCCTCTCCTAAAGGACTCCCAGCCCCATGGTGTCACAGGCTTCCGACTGCCTACGTCAGTTCATTAAAAGCCTCTCGAGGGAAGGACCCAGCCAGCACCCCCGTTACTATCATCCCAGTGTTCACTGAGCTCCCGCCACACAGCAGGCACCCTGCCGGGACCCGACACCCATTAGTGCTAACCCTCCATGAGCCCTGTGAAGTGGCATTTGCTCCCACCCCCACTTTACAAGGAAAGCTAGGCTTGGGGAGGCTCAGTGACTTGCCCAGGGTGACACACTGGCACAGAGCAGAGCCAAGCTCTGTACCTGGATCCTTCTGATATCCCCAAACTCTCTTGTCCTACACTGAGAAGGTGATGGATTTGGTTGGTCGACTTTCGCATGGGTGGCTGGAAAAAAGCAGCTTTCTTCCCTTCTGAGTGTGTCTGCCCCTGATCCAGCCCAGGCTGGGTCCCAGCTTCAGCACTCTCACCCTGCTTGGTGATTAACTGGTCACTATAAATAGCACAAAATATAAAAAGAGGGGAGAAGGCACACACACCACAAAAGAGTCGTCTGAAATTAGGGCTGTCAAAAAGAAACCCAAGAAAGCGGGGGAGGCTCACGTGGAGAGCCAGGCGGTGCCCGCTGGTCTTGGCCCGCGGCACTTGTGTTTGGCTGGGGGCCTGGGGCTGGGTGGCACAGGATTATCCAGACACACACCACTGACAGGGCCCTGACAAATTGGGTCACCGATGTCAGCTTGCTCGTCGCTGCGCAATTTCCAGCTCCTGAATCTCTGCTGAATTCCGATCCAGCCAGTCTCCGCAAGGAAAAGTATGCTGAGGGTCTCACCAGAGCCAGGGTGTAAACACAGGCATGGGAGAGGGAGGCCAGAATGTTGGGGCTCTCTAGGGGTATCGCCCCAGGCAGAGGAGGCAGACGCATCTGTGGTGGCACCTCTGGAGGCCGGCCACAGCCCACGCTGGGCTCTGAGAGTGACTCAGGCAATAGGGCAAGGAGGCTGGGCCTTAATTACCGGAACTGTTAACAGAGTGAGAAACTGAACAGCAGGCTCTCCTGGTACCTCGCTGTCCCCAGGGCCCCATCCCCACGGAGCAAGGTGAGCCCTAAGTTTTCCTTCGTCTGGAGCCAGCTCAGGAGGCTTCAAGTGAAAATAAGAGGAAAAACTTGTGATCCTTAGGCCTCGTCCCCTTGTTTACAGTCAGGTTTGGTTTTAATCACATGCCTAAGCTTTCTGTACAGCCCAGGCTCCCAGCGGCTCCGCGATGCTGCGGGAGTGGGTAGGGGAGGCCGACGAGCTGTGAGGCACAGACGTTCTGAGTGGCCTGGGGCCTACGGGTTCCAGCCAGACAGCGAGGGCCAACTCGGGGCACAGGAAGAGAGCAGGGGGGACCCCAGCACTGACCCATGTGACCCGCCTCTGTCTGCCCGCAGGTCGTGGAGGACTGGAAGTACGTGGCCATGGTGGTCGACCGGCTGTTCCTGTGGGTGTTCGTGGTTGTGTGTGTGCTGGGCACCGTGGGGCTCTTCCTACCTCCCCTCTTCCAGACCCACGCGCCCTCCGAGGGTCCCTAGGCTGCCCTGCATGCCCCAGGGTCCCCAGTTGTGGGGTAAGATGATGCAAGCGGCCCAGTGAGCAGTTTGCTGTTTCTCTCTGGGTCACAGCTGCTGAGGCCCTAAATGAATGAGACCATCAGCCATCTGCCCGTTAAACAGCCGTGGCGTGGGAGGGGCGAGGATTGGGGGCCTGGACTGTCCTCTCTGAAGGCCTCAGAGGAATCCAGGGAACCCCGGCAGGAGGGGGCTTTCGACAGTTTAGCTCCGTGCCAGGGTAAGGACGGGCTTAGCAGCAGCGGCTACTATGTGCCAGGCATCGTCCCTCGCACCCCGTCTCCCTGTACTCCCCCAGTCCCCTAGGCTCGCTGGCCTTCGGTGGTCACACACTTCAGGATCCCTCCCAGCTCAGAGCCTGTGCACCTGCAGTAACTTCCAGACCTTCCCCCGGCGCCTCCGAGGCTCTTCCCGTGGCTACATCCTCCAGAGCTGAACTCCGATCCATGCTTCATTCCAGTGTCACTTCCCTGAGAGGCCTTCTCCAGTCACCCGAAAGCGTCCCCCTCACGGCCACAGTCCCTGACACCTTCCTCGGCGCTCCTCAGTACCTGAGGTTCTTGCTGGAGTGTCTACGGCCCACATCTACCTACTAGAGTGTGAGCTCCATGAGAGCAGGGACCTGGTCCTTTGTGTTGGCTGCAGTATCCCCAGGACCCAGGACAGAGCTCGGCACACAGTGGGTGCTCAATAAATGTTTGTTGAATGAATGAATGGCTCCTAGTCTTCCTTCAAGCTCAGATGCCCCTCCTCTGAGCAGCAGCCCTTGGCTCCCCACATGAAAGCAGGGGCCCTCTCCTCCTCCGTGACCCACAGCCCAGCTCCCACTCCACTGTGTGTCACGGCTGGGTTCAGGTGCGTCTCCCTCACAGGTGCTCTGATTGGCCCCCAACATTCTATCTTTTGCCCGGCGCATAGTAGGTGCTCAAAATATCTGTGGAATGGAGGAGGACTTTTAAAATTCTATTTTTAAAATTATATGATTTTATATAAAACTCTCTCTTTTTGCCAAGAGAATGAATCTTAATACGTGCACAGTTTCGTGATCAGGATATAGGAGATGTCGTCCACCACCCAAGATGGCCGCACACACACCCGCTCCCGTGCCGCTCCTTACGGTCCTGCCTCTCCTCATCTTTCCAAAATGCCATGTACATGAGCCACACGGTGTGCAGCCTGTGAGAAGAATGCCTTTGAGAGGCGTCCAAGTTGCCGAGGGGGCCAACAGTTTGTTCCTGTCTTGCTCAGCAGTGTTCTGTCGCGTGGATGTTGAACACATTTAGGTTACCGGTTTGGGGCAATTATGTAAACATTCAATTATGTACAGGATTTTACGTGTGAACAAATGTTTTCTTTTCTCCAGGTGAATACTCAGGAGTGTGGTTGCTGCATCGTGTTTAACTTATGTGGGGCTGTCAGACTTATCTGGAGGGGCTATCGCATCTTGCGTTCCCACAGGCCAAGTACGAGAGGTCCAGCTCTCTGCGTCCTCGCCCGCACGTGGTACTGGCTGCACTTTGTACCCAGCCACCCCGGTGGATGTGACGGGGTGCATCACCCTGGTTTCAGTTTGCTTTTCCCTCATGGCCAGTGATGTTGAACATCTTTTCATGTGATTCTTTTGCTTTCTGTGTATCCTCTTTGGCGAAGTCTCTTTTTAACTCTTTCGCTTATTTTAAAAATTGAGTCTTAGTTTTCTTACTGTTGCACAAGAATTAAAAAACACTCTAGTGAGGTTTAATTTACATATCATAAAACTCATTCATTTTAAGTGTAAAAGTCAATGAGTTTTAGCAAGTTTATCACCATAATCCAGTTTTGGAACATTTGCATCACCCCAATAAGATTCCTCACACCTATCTATTCTTACTTTTGAGTTTTGAGGGTTATTTGTATCTTGTGCATGCAAGTCCTCGGCAGGACACGTGATTTGCTGTCATTTCCAAATGAAGGGCTTTACGCCAAGAGAATGAGAATGCGCTAGCTGGGGGCCGGGTGGGTAGGGCCCTGATTCTTACAGACATTTTCCGGGTCCTGCAAAATGTCTCCTTTTGCGTGTTTTAAATGTAGGTAGGAGACCCATTCTTGAAATACAGGCAACTCACCTGTCCTGTGATGAAGGGACCCCCCAAGGGAGCCTGCAGGTGCCCCACCCCACCTGGCGGGTGGTCAGAGAGGTCAAGGGACCCCAGGGCAGCCTGGTCACCGCAGTTTTCTGAGGCCCCTAGAGGTGCAGATAGGGTTGGGGACAGAGGAGGCTCTGCAGGGGGCCAGGAGCTGGACCCGCAGTGCCCCGAGGGTTCCATCTCCAACACCTCATTTTTGGCTTTTTCTTCTTTCGTTTCACTTTTTGCTAAGGAGCATTTCAAACACCCTCAAGTAAACAGTATGACAGCCCTTCGGGAACTCACGGAGGCTCAGGAACGAGCGACTCCTGGCCCATGCGGCCCCAGCGGACGCCCATCCTCCGCCTCCTACACGCACAGACTCTCAAAACCACAAATACCAGTATCGCACCGAAAATGCTTAACACTTACTTAATCGCGTCAAAACCTGAGCTGTTACAGGGTCCCAGAAGCAGGCGCGACCGGTGCCGGCACACACGCGGGACATGCCAGAGCAGAGAATGCCACGTGGGTCCCCCTCCGCGGCGGCAGCCCTGCTCTGATTGGCCCGCGCAGCACACCCCGACACTAGACCCGGGCGCCCCGCGCGCCCCGCCCCGCCTGACTCCGAGTGGCCGCGGCGCGGGGAGCCCACGAGCCCAGTTTGTCTCCACCGCGCCGCGTGCGCCCCGGATCGCTCGGGGCGTCCCGGCAGCCGGGCCGGCGGGCCATGGGCGCACACCCGCTCCGGGTGCCGCCACCTCTGGTGCTGCTGCTGCTGCTGCTGCTGCTGCCAGGTACGCGGGCGTGCTGGCGGCCGGAGGGACAGGTGTCCCCAGAGGGGGTTGCGGGGTCCGAGCGGGCCCGCCGG